GTATTTTATGCTAAAATGTAACAGAGATAAGTAGAAATGGGGGAAATCATAGAGAGAAGAGAAGATAGAGAAGAAGATGAGAATTTGGAAATTTTTCTTGTATTTTTCATTCATGATCAAAACCCATATATATAAGATTCCCCTGCGGCCAAACTAACAAATAGTTTTTTCACTTAATTACCTCACAACTAACCAAAAGGAGTAAAAACATTCCATCACTAATAAAATGACAAATGGATGGATTAAATAAAAATAGCTAATAAATCTAGATAATATCTCCTTGCTCCACGTGTCCTTCCTCCATTAAGTCCAAATCCTTGTCTGCTTCAAGACCAAAATCAAATCGTGTCTCGTCATTTTCCCATTTTTGCTTGCTCGCAAACCCTAAATTAAGCCCCAATTCTGCAATTCCAAAAAATCCACTCAAATTCATAACAATACTGCCCCCCTTTTGAGATTCTTGTCCCCAAGGATCAAAATTTGGAAATCTGCGTTTCAGAAATGGAACATCCTCCCAGGTAGAGATCGGATTTGCCCCATATGACCACTCCACCAAAGCTTGCGACACAGATCGCCCTTTCCGGAGCAATTGACGATGATCTAAAGCCGCGACGGCAGAAAGACAAAACTTTCCGTCGGAATCAACTGGTGGAAACTCTGATTCAACCTCCAATGGTGGGGAAAGCTTCCTCTTGAGAAGTGAGACATGGAAAACTGGGTGCACCTTTGCGTTTGCAGGTAAGTCTATCTTGTAGGCTACTGCCCCTACTTTTGCAATTATCTTGTATGGACCATAGTAGTGTGCCGTGAGTTTGATGTGCTTGCGTAGGGCTATAGAGCTTTGTCTGAATGGCTGCAATTTGAGATATACCCAGTCTCCCACTTGAAAGTGTTTATCAACCCTGTGTTTGTCAGCATTCTGCTTCATTCTATTTGTAATGCATATCCATAGAGAGCTTCAAAAGGTGAACACTTCAGACTGGTATGGTAATTTGTGTTATACCAATACTCTGCAAGTGACAACCACTTAGCCCAATGCTTAGGATTTTCAAAAACCATGCCCTTTAGATAATTCTCTAGGCATTGATTTAACCTCTCAGTCTGACCATCTGATTGTGGGTGGTAATAAGAGGTAAGGTCTAGACTGGTACCCAATAATTTAAACAACTCTTGCCAAAATGAGCTTGTGAACACCTTGTCTCTATCTGATACAATACTCATAGGCAGCCCATGTAACTTATAAATTGAATGTAAGAAAATCTTAGAAATAGAAGTGGCTGTATAAGGATGAGAGAGTGGAATAAAATGCCCATATTTAGTGAGCATGTCCACAACTACTAGAATGACATCCTTACCCCATTGATTTGGGTAATCCTTCAATGAAGTCCATGGAAATGTGGCTCCATGCCTGTGTAGGAATTGGTAAAGGTTGCAGTAAACCAGGATAGCCCCCACTCTCAGCTTTAATCCTTGCACAAGTGTCACACTTCTTAACCCATTCTGTGACATCCTTCTTGAGTCCTTGCCAATAAAAAACCCTCTTAGTCCTTATGTAAGTCCCCTGTATTCCTGAATGCCCACCAAGTGCTGAGTTGTGCATTTCTGTGAGTATAAGGTTCCTTAGGGGACCACTGCTTTCAACAACTACCTTACCCTGGTATCTCAAAATGTCACCTATGAGTTCAAACTCTTGATGTGATGTAGGCTGTATAAGTTTCTCTTCAACAATAGGTTGGTAGTATGGATCATCAGTGTAGCTGTCTGCTACCTGTTGTACCCAACTTGGGTTGACTGTGGTGATCCCAAAACAGTTTTCATCCACCCCACTCCTTGATAAGGCATCTGCACCTCTGTTCTCAATCCCCTTCTTGTATTGGATCTCATAAGTGAATCCTAAAAGCTTGGAGATCAATTTCTGTTGGAAAGGAGATACCACCTTCTGATCTAACAGGTGTTTCAAAGCCTGTTAGTCAGTTTTTATCACAAACTTATAACCCAGCAGATAGTGCCTCCACTTTTGTATAGCCATGATGATGGCTAAGAACTCCCTCTCATATATAGGTAAACTTTGGTTCTTTGGATTGAGAACCTTGCTCATATAGGCAATGGGCCTACCATTTTGCATAAGGATGGCCCCAACCCCTGTCCCACTTGCATTTGTTTCCAAAACAAAAGGTTTGGAAAAATCTGGTAGGGCTAGTACTAGTGCTCTAACCATAGCCTCCTTGAGCCTATTAAATGCTGCCTCTGCTTCTGAATTCCACTAGAAACCACCTTTCCTTAGTAAATTTGTCAATGGTTTACTAATGATTCCATATCTCTGTATAAATCTTCTGTCAGACCCAAAAATCCCTTGGTCTGTTTGATATTAATAGGGACATTCCATTGAACCATTGCAGAGATTTTGCTAGGATCAGTAGATACACCCCCTTTTGAAATAATGTGCCCCAAATAATCAACTTGCTCCTGGCCAAACTGACATTTACTTTTCTTGGCATATAACTTGTTGTTCCTTAGAACATGTAGCACCACCTCAAGGTGTTGTAGGTGTTCACACCAAGACTTGCTATAAACCAGGATATCATCAAAAAATACTAACATAGTCTTCCTCAAGTGTTGTTGGAACATCTGGTTCATCAATGATTGGAAAGTAGCATGAGCATTGCACAAGCCAAAAGGCATAACAAGAAATTCAAATTGGACATGATGAGTATTGAAAGCAGTAAGATGTCTGTCTTCTGGCCTCATTAAGATTTGGAAATAGCCTGATCTAAGGTCTATTTTTTAGAAAAATTGTGCACCATTGTGCTCATCAAGCAGCTCATCTATTATAGGTATAGAAAAATCATGCTTGATGGTTAAACTATTTGAGTACCTGTAGTCCACACACATTCTCCAGGTAGAGTCCTTATTCCTCACAAGTAACACAGGAGGAGCAAAAGGGCTGTTGCTAGATTGAATCAACCCTGAAGTGATTAGTTCCTAAACAATCTTCTCAATCTCATTCTTTCGGCTGTGAGATACTGTAGGGATGTTGGTGTTTAGGCAGGCTGGATTCCTTGAGAGTAATTTGGTGTTCAATCCCTCTAACTGGTGGTAACCCAGGTGGGTCATCAAAAACATCTGCATACATATCAAGTAAGTGGGTGGTCTCAGAATTTGGAGGTTTGTCTTCACTAGGCATTTTGATCCAAAACATCTCCTCAATTTGTGAGGGGAAATCCTGATGAAACATTTTAAATAAGGTCGGCCCTGAAATCAACTGGCAATCCACCCCTGTAGTGAGAGCTTGTATCTTCACTTTTTTTCCTTGCCTAGTGACAGTAAAAGTCATGAGTTCATAATCTAATTCAATGGGTGTGCATGACTTCAACCAGTCACCTCCCAGAATTAAATCACAGGCCACATTGTCCAACACCCTAGGTGAGAAAACAAATGTATGCCCTTGCATTTTCCACTTGAAATTTGCCACCTTACTGGAACTCACCATCATGTTGCCATTTGCCACCCTAACCATGATAGGTTTAGCTCTGACCATGTCACAACCTTTCTAGCCATTGACTCTTGTATAAAGCTGAGAGTACTGCTTGTATCAATAAGGATTTGTAATTTCTCATGTCCCATGGTACCACACACTCTCATGGTAGTGACACTCCCATCTCCTGTGGCTGCATGTAGGACAACTTGGATCTCTTCCATGTCACTGGTACAGTTAGGCTCCTGTGACTCCACCCCTGATTGTTGGTTAACCATTGATTCCTCCTCTTCCGTCATTATAAGGTAAGAAATCCTGTTCTTGCATCTATGCCCTTTGGAGAAAGGCTCATCACAATTATAACATAAGCCATTCTCTCTTCTAATTTCCATTTCAGAAGATGTGAGTAGCTTGAAATTTGACTGGTTAGATATAGGAGGAGGTCTTGAAATTTCAGTCCTCCTTGCCATAGGGTTGTATGTGGTGTGAGGCTTATAGCTCCCTTTGATCTTCTTGGTAAGAGCATCAAGAGTGTGCAGTTGTCTTTGACCCAATTCAATGGTCTGTTGAAGAGTGCTGGGACCAAACATCTGTATGAAAGCTTGTAGTTCATCACTTAGGCCACTTATAAAACTAGCAATGAAATATTCTTCTCAATACCCTCCCCTATTGAGTAGCAGCATGCATAATCTCAGTTCCTCGAATTTATCAACATAATCAGAATAAGAACCAACATGTTTGAGCTTGTTGATTTCAACAATGATTTTTGCTTCCTTCAAATCCTCAAATCTTGCAGAAATTATATCTATGAATTGAGCCCATGTTAGTTCTCCCTGCCTTTCACCAAAACTTTGAAACCATTGGGCTGCCCTGCCATCAAAATGCATGGCAGCCATTGCCACTTTTTGAGTATCAGGTATGTTGGGAATTAACTTGAAGTATGATTGGCATTTAAGTATCCAAACCCTAGGGCTTGTCCCATCAAACCTAAGGAAATCAATTTTTGGTAAAGGACTGATGAATGTTGAAGTGGAAGTTACAGTGAATCTTGTTGAGTGATCAAAATGGAAGTTGAATCCGTGTCTCCCAGTGCCAAATGACATGTCAGGGTTGCCCAAAATAGACTCAGTGTTGTGTGAGCTTACCTTGCTAAGATTCACTAGCTGAAGTTGAATAGAAGCCATGGTTTTGGTGATCTGCTCGAATTTCTCACTGAAGCCTGTATTTAATTCATGGATCTTATCTTGCATCTTTATTTCTGCAGCATCCCTCTTTAGACTCTCAGTGTGAACTGTTTGATCCAATTTTTTCTGTGCCTCATGTAGGTCCTTGAATCGAGTTGCCTCAGCCATGTTTCAAGGGGATCGATGCAGCTCTGTGATACCAATTGTTGTATTTTGATGTATTTTATATTAATTTTCCTGTATTTTATGCTAAAATGTAATAGAGATAAGTAGAAATGGGGGAAATCATAGGGAGAAGAGAAGATAGAGAAGAAGATGAGAATTTGAAATTTTTCTTGTATTTTTCATTCATCAAAACCCATACATATAAGATTCCCCTGCGGCCAAACTAACAAACAGATTTTTCACTTAATTACCTCACAACTAACCAAAAAGGGTAAAAACATTCACCACTACTAATGACAAATGGATGGATTAAATAAAAATAGCTAATAAATCTAGATAATATCTCCTTGCTCCACGTGTCCATCCTCCATTAAGTCCAAATCCTTGTCTGCTTCAAGACCAAAATCAAATCGTGTCTCGTCATTTTCCCATTTCTGCTTGCTCGCAAACCCTAAATTAAGCCCCAATTCTGCAATTCCAGAAAATCCACTCAAATTCATAACAGTATCTTGGTAGACAACAAATTTAGACTGAAAAGGGCAAATCCTGCATAAAGATACAGGTCTGTATAACAAACAGATTCTGGGGAAGTCATTTAATGCAAACAAGATGAAACATAATGCTTAGGTTCTGATGATAGCTTTAGAATAAATAGATATGTGCATGAGCTTCGCAACTTACAGACTGAGGCTGAATATTAAGTTGCACAAAACATGTGCTTGTATATAAAGTTCTCATAATTCTTCACGTGGGATGAATGTGGAATAGCAAATATATTTAACATAAGAATATTAATGGCCATTATAGTTATCGTACGTCCATACTTCGAAACTCTTACAGTGTGTGACACATGCAAATCGATACAAAGATATGTAATATAAGTATGTATATTTTGTAAATAATTCTTCTTACCTTTATATTCACACTAGCGCTACAATTTATTGAAATAAAATACTGGAAAAGCTTTCCTCAGAATTCCTCTGTACCTTCCTCGCGCTCGTATCAACATCCAATATGAAATATCTCAGTACGAACTTTTTCTTGTAGGGCACACACAATTCAATAACAAAATGAAAATTCAATCAATATTCATTTGTTCAGTTAACAAAATAAATAAATAAAAAAAATATTAATGTTTCCCGCCCCTGATTATGTATTCCAAGGCTCTGCTGCAATCAAAATCAAGCTGTAACTCTGGTTGCTGCCCAGAAAGCCTTCTTGATGCCCGGAGTTCAACATCTTCTGGAGACTCATCTGAGTCGAAATGATGTTAGTAAATATTCTTTTTCACCAACCAGTGAATTGCCAACAAATTAGATAAAGGAAATCACTTTGTAAATAATATACTGCTATGTAAGTGTCAGTAGCACGAGGATACTTCACATATTAGTTCCACTATTTTAATTTCGAATAACAGAAATTAATATGAAAAGATGCACATAGGATGTTTTTGCTTTGCTTCTTTGCTTTTCCTTTCTGAACTTTTAATCTCAGAGTGACATGCGCTTTTGTTTGCGCACTATCTGGTCAATTTAAACTGAAAATGAACAAATCAAACAACTGAAATTGACCTAAGTGGTGTATAATAATAATAATAATAATAATAATAATAATATTATTATTATTATTATTATTATTATTATTTAATAATTAGTAGTTAGCTTAGAGAACAAGTTAGGGTTATTAGTTTTGAGAGTCTTATATAAAGGACTGTCCTGTTTTATTGTTACTTGGTGAATTTTGAGATTGAATAAGATATAGTGAGTTTTGTGTGTTTTACAAGAGTGTATCTCGTTTATCCTTTCTCACTCGCACGCTTCCCTACATCACTAAATGTTCACAAGCATGACATGTTTTATGCATATGTGACAGAATCTGGACTAGAAAAATAGCAAGAAACAAAAAATGATTTTGTAAGTGAGCTCATGTAGTTTTGAATTGCCAATTATACAAAAAATAAAAACTAAAAACAAACAAATATAAGAGCATTATAATTTGGGAATATACTGGGTATGTTGTTGATGTTGTTGTTGTTGTTGTTTATACCAGCTTTCACTTAACTACATACAACTAAGCTTACCAGCATTCTTAATAGGAAAGGCAAACCAAAACTTCCAGAAATGGCACTTTTAAAGTCAGAAAACTATCAACAGTAATTCATTTCCTCGTTTAGTCACTTTAATTTCCCCACGAGTTCTTTAAATAAAATAAAGCAATAACAATCTACAACAAGTAACAAGAACCTATAATCGTGAAAGTTGTGATCTATCAACCCTAATAGCCATGTGCACGAGTTGCGCAACTCCTTATATATGATTTCACATAATAATGATATTCCACCATTAAGGGAATGAATACATATACACACATATTCAGAAAAACAGAGCACAATATTATTATGGGTAACTTACTCTGAAGAGAAATTTCCAATAAGGCCTCCACGCACGCGACCTCATCTTCGTTCAGTTCCTCCTCAAGACAAGCACTAGAGCATTCAGCTTCGTGGTGGCTCTCGACTTCTTGATCTTTTCTCAGTGTTGGTTCCTGAAAGATGCAACTGTTTAAGTAAAAACAAAACAAACAAAAAGAAAGAAATTCATCCAGCACAATTTATGCACCCATACATAATCCAATAACAGTTACCTCATCACTAATAAAAAAAATTAGCTACTTCAATGATTTTTTTTAATGTAAATGTGGGGAGACCAATAGGTGCACCAAATAAAACTTGTACTTAAAAATAACATACTTTGTCCTTGGAAGTCGACCCTTGATGCCTTCCTCTATGCTCCGGAACATTCTTAACGTTGCTAATTGAACTCATGCCGACCTTCGCTCTGCTTGGCATTGCAAAAGGTCCGGTAGTGGGTGGTTCAAAGTCCTTTTGGAAGTAAACAGTGCAAATAACAAACAACATATTATGATTTATGAACTTTGAATCTTGAGTTGTTTGTCCCAAAATGATGAAAATTGTTCTCATTTCTTCGCCATTTATTTTTTATTTTTATGCCAACAAAACTATTCCATCTTCAGAGTCAAACCTCTTCTTCAGTTTAATCCATGTGTGTTAATACAAAAGACATGAATCAAGAAAACGGTAATTGGACATTTGATTTTTCAAGCATGTGAAATTTAAATGGTGTATAAACAGTATGCCATTGGAACCATTTTTGCACACACGGGCCAAAGGTGAAGTTTTTTGTGAAGCTTTTATCAATTACATTGTGCTTTATGTGCGTAAATAGTAATAAAAAATGAACAAACAAGAAGTGTATCATGCATGTGATGGAAATCGGAATTGCACAAAAAACATATAGTGAAAGCAAAATCTCTCTAAAAGTGCTCAAAAACAGCAAAAATATGATTTCTGGTTAATTCCAATTTTAATTTAGTTGTTTTTAATGATCTTTCTATACTATCTAAGTTGCTTGAAAAGGTCACTTTGTTAAAAAAGGATGCTAGGTATACTCCCGATACAGAAGTTGTTACATTAACTTCAATA